ACATCTGTCCACAGCACAGCACAACGCCTAAAGCGCGTTAAAACCACCCAGAAAAAATAGTCGGCCACTCCTCGGCACAGACCGTCTCACGGAGGATAGCTGAGCGCTTACAAAATTGGCAAACTTACCTCTGCCGAATCGTAAGCGAACAGCCATCAGTCGCATGCTGATGCCTGTTGGTCCACTCACGAGCTGACCATGAAGGCCATCGGATATTGCAAATCCCACCCCATGTTCACTTGGTGCTGTGGTGACGTTGCCCATCCTACAGAATGTGTAGTCAGCACCTGCTTCATGCAACTTACCTAGCTCAGCGCGCCGAGTCTCGCTAAGCGCAGCAATATCGATGTTGTAGCGCACTAATTCCATCGCGACCAGTGCAGTGCGTCGCTCAGGGCGCTCACTCGAGTTCTGATACATTAGTGTACGCACGTTCCAGCACCCGTTGCTAAGTGTTTTGTGCGCAGGCATACGATTATGTTGGTGAGAAAGTGCACGTGAGGTGGAGGTTTTGCTTCGGAGGTTTACTTGAGGGACCCCGTCCAGAGCCTTTGGTTCAATAGCTTGATCCATAAGGCAGTGGTTAGCAGATCCAACTTGGGAATGTGATTGCAGTGAAGGATTGGGATCTGCTTAAGATTCGCCACACGCAAACTTCGAGGTACTGTAACGATTTCTATATGTTTTGCGACCGTAGTAGGATACGCACCTGCGACCACGGCCAGACGCAGGAGCGTTTTGGAGGGTTTGTACTAATTTGTCTAGGAACTGCCTGGATTGAGGAGGGCAGTAACAAACCATTGAGAACCCGGAGGTGCACGCCCATCGTCATAGACAATGTGTGACGGTCGTGCTTTAGGCTAATCGAGCAGTGAACTCATAACCGGTAGACCTATTATCGCCAGTGGCTTGGTTTTACGGGAGGAAGGCCATCGACCACTTCCTAACCTCCGAAGAGGATGGACTAGGATACTGACAGGGCGCCCACACCTGACAGGAGAACGACTCGGGCCCTCAGCGCAAGCCTCCGATTAAATGTACACCCCAAAGGCAGTGAGTCTAGCACATGGTCAGTTCACTGACGCATACATAAGTAGGTATTGGATTAGCTATGTTGCTTACAGTGATAATCATGATATAACGCCTTTGGTGAATCGGAAATGGTCAATATTCATCTGACGTTGGCCGGCACTCTGCTAAGGGGAATTGAACTGCCTGCCTCTCCAAGTTAAGGCGATACTGGTGACGAACTCGGTTTGTTTACCCAGCATGGATTTCAGCTGCTTACTTGCCTAAACATCGGTAAGCTGATACAGGTGGGCGACATTTTGTCGGTGGAAAATCATAAATGATTCACGTGGGTTTTCACACTTGGGGCAGTCAAATATGTGTCGGGCAATAGATCTGGCGGTCAAGTCCGAAGCGTTTACAACCAGGTCTCGCGGAAAATGCTCTAGAATTCTTGAGAAGATTCTCATCTCAGTTCGGCCCTCGTACTCGCTACCGCAAGTACAATGAAACAGTTAACCGCATGATGCAGTAACTCAAAAATCTTATCTGTCTAGTTGGGATTTAAACAGCAACTTCTTAAGTTGGTGCGAAGGCACAAGTGCAGCATCGTAATAAAACTTTTATGCTTTGGTGGTGACCATATCTGAACCTCCTGTCACATTGGTGGCATTTGAAACGTAGCGTTATGAACACAATTTTCTTAGGGACGTCGGGCGCCCGTTCGTTACTAGTTCTCGCGTTCGCTTTTGAGTGTCCCGGGTATAAACTTTTCCGGAGACACGTTTCAAGTGATGTCGAGAAGACGCGTTGAAGGGCAAATTCAATCATTTTCTGAGAGCAGATCTGAAGAGTTGTCGCAAATGTGTTACGAACCAGAGCTCATTTATAATTCACGGGATAAAAGTATTGTCCTCTGCATTTAGGTTTGTGGTACACAGATCAAATGAGTGTACAGTTTAGGCTTCTCCTTAGGATGACATACAAAAGATGGAAGGCACAGCTTGTGAACTGCAGTTGTATGCGAACATGGAATAGACAAAGAAGCAGTGCACGTCAAGCAACATCCAGCGGAAAGCGAGTAGAGGAAGTTGAAATTTGGTTTGTTGGATCTGACGTATATGGTCCTTGTTGTTTTCGACAACACAAGACTCTATTCGAACCTTGGGTTCATACCCAATGAGCTCGATTTCGTCTCCCCCAGCTATTCCTTGTAACGTGTAAAAGTCAGCCAACAATTCCTGATTTTGTGCTCCGGTATGTCACTTATGTGTCTCCCGGTATTTTCCAGTGGTTAGCAGTGGTAAAAGGTAAGCCGCTAACAGTCGCTTTACAAGCAGTCTTCTAGCGCTTGTTCACAAAAGCATCTGAATGCAAATGTATCATTCCATCCAACGGACAAGATGTTCTGAGTGAGGCGAATATAAGAAAAGTAGGGCGAATCACAAATGACTCTCGTGATGAACTGTAGGCAACGACAAAATATCGCACAACCCAGCAAAATCCAAACAGTGCTTAAAATGTAACTCACCAGAACGCTTGGGCCTATATTACACGGGCACCTCTATGTGCAACCTAATATAAGAATCGGAAACATATCGCGGTTTACTGTTGCTATTGCTTAATGATCCATAGAGAATTGCGTGGTTTTGCAACTAGTCCACGACGAAGCATGGATATTCATGAGAAATCATCCAAGCATCTTTGACCAGCAGCGAGTAGTGTGGAAGGTGGGCGCTGCAAATAAGCTCATTACTCCCACTTTTTGTCTCTCGACAAACTTTGCATTAAATGCTAAATTCTATGAGGTGGTGTATGAATCTCAAATGCGATGCTCCGTGTATCCTAAAGTTTAACAGTAGAAGCTGTTGCAAACGCTGTTGTAAAGCGAACATGTGAGTCACACCACTCTACGATACTTTTGTAATAGTTGAACATATCCATTTAAAGATCATATACCAGTGACTCAACCTCATTTTGGATAACATTCAGTTTAACAAAGAATCAGAGATGGAAAATGTCGTTTAAGTCTTGTACTTATTAGTCACCTAGATGAAAGACAGATAACCACAAACATTGGTTTACGGAAAATGCACACATCAGCAGCGACATCTGAACCACCCACAGCGTAATGAAATAGGCTGTATATCGTCTATGTTTTACGAACTAAAAAGCACCGTAATGCGAAGACAGGGCACACTTTCTTCAGATCCTTTTCCGTCAGTGGATGCACATCTTTTCTTACAGAAATAGCCAAGTCATAAGCAATACATTTTGCCGTAGACAAAGTACCTATCAGGAGTGATGACACTACAAAATGCTCCTCACATTACTTCACTAATTACCTGCCACTGAACAAAATTCAGTCAAAGTAAAGGGGGCAAGCCATATCACACGAAAGATGAACAACGTGAGGTTGAATGCAAAACTGCGACCAAGTACATGTGAGTCAGACAGAACGGACATAGACTTGAGAATAGATGTTCCCAAAAGGCATGTGAATGGAAGCGCGAATTTCCCGCAATGTATCACCTTGACTGAATAAAGAAGAACACAGCATCGATTTTACTAAAGCAAGAACTTTGTGGCGCTGATATATACATGGCAAAGCGAAGGCAATTTGTCGCAGTTTCCTCTGAATGGATTGTGTGTACATATCGCGCAAATGGAAAGAAATCCAATGAACTGAAACCGCCTGATTTTAGCAGTGTCCGGGAGAAAGTAAGAATTGCCTAGGAAATCCACTATTTATGCGATTAATCGATTATTAACGATTATCGTATCGATTTCGAATGTTCCGGTGTGTTCTAGTTCAGCACGTGACTAAAAACCGGCTGACACCTCGGCACACGATATGGGGAACTACTAACCTTGGTAGCTGACCTCCCAGTTCCAGAAGTCAGAGGTCAGTAAGAGAACTATACATAGAGCCAAGGTCCACGATAGTTGTAAAGTGTTTGTTGACGGCGAGTAACACGTTATTTTGTCAAGGTCATTGGCATTCTGCTTTTTCCTTCGGTTGGGCTAGAATTCTTATGGAGCAGTCAAGTGTCAATTTCGGAATCACGTCTAGTGCGAAGATTATAACAAGCAGCACCATCCTTTGCGTAGAGAAAACCATATAAGTAAACGCTGCTGCACAACTGACAGTTAACTAATCCTGTTTTCTTCACGATCATTAATCGTTGACCAATTGCTGTCATTCAGTCTGTGCCTAAATACTTCAACAATCAGCTAAGCCCTATGAATCCTGGCTATTGGCTTTCGAATTGTTTGTAAATAGCAGACTGGAGCTGTCGAAACAACTTCTAGTCGATGAGGACGCCAATTATTGTGACGAGAATCAAAATTCTCTTCCTTGCAAATTTGCTCTATTTATCTACGTGCAAAAAGTTTCTGCGTAATGCATTTAGCTTATGCCCACAATGCATTAATACTGCGCATTATTTAGTCGTACTAAGATGAGGTAAAACGATGTAGTAGTTGTTTTCGTCGCTGTTGTGCATTGCTAGCTACGAAACTGCGCAACATGACATGTTATGCTAACCTTTGTCAAAAGACGATGGTTGATGTTTATCAGATTGTGTGCACAAGTATTACCTTCAGTGGTTTCTAATGATGGGTAGCTCTTCTACTCAGTAATCTTAAACCATATGAGCTTAGACTCATGTGTTCACAACACAGCTTTTGGATACTGTACTATTATCCGGGCTTCTAACATCCTATGTGTTTCCACTGTGGAGTATAGGGATTAAAGGCAAACTGTAATTATTGCTTGTGGTCGTCGATTCAACCTCGGATTAAAACCGCCTACTTTGTTCCTAGTAGCAGGCACTTCAGTGCGACGTTTTCCTACAGTTAATCAGTATGCATGTAAGTAGCAACATATATTTGATTTGCCTTTTTGCGGATGTCACATACATCATTCTCGAGGAGCTAGTATTATTTCATTAAAAAGTCCGTGAAAGATATATGTGGTTAATTCTCCACAGGTTTATATGATTCGGTCCGCTCGCAAACGACTTCAAGGTGCCCAAACCGCCGCGACAAATGCCATTCCTACTTCCACGTCGCAATATGATTTGGTACAACTTCAGAAAAGAATGTCAGGTGTAGCGGAAGTACCGTGTGAGGGAGCTCAGGCAACCAGCTCTCCGGAAGCCTTTGCAGATATAAAGCTAAATCGTTTGGCTTGGGCCAAAGAGTAAGTTCTGATGATGCTCCATAGCTCTTGCAATACCTCCAGTTCCGTTGCGAACCCAAACTCTTCCATTTTCCTTACTGTAAGTGGATTATTGTAGGGACGCCTCGTTTTACCTATGCAAGCAAGTTATACCAAGCATTTCTATGCTGTGGTATGTCTGTGACGGTGTGACACGAGTCGGATGACCTGAGCAATTTTTGTGTTACCCAAAAAATACCAAAAGTACTGCGCTTATGTGTATACCACTGGCTAACTGCGATGATTCGGTAATGTCGGTTGACATCAGAACTGTTGTGGAATAAAAGTACAGCGTAACTCGGGTTCCGAATGCGGTCATTCTGCAGTAACTACAATCTGGAAATTACTAGATGTTGTTGACAAAAGTTGGAATAATTAAAGGATCAGCAAATTTTGCAGAAAGTTTGACTCTTATTTATCTGTGGCCCTATATTATTTGTGACTTCCATTAAGATTGTGTGTTCGGGTACAATATGAGTGAACATTTCAGCATTTAGTATATCGTCAATTTGTTTCACTTCACAGGAGACAACTTGAGAGGCTCAATGCACTGATGTGTGAATTTTCGAAAGATTTTCAAACATTACTGGTATGTCGGATTTCATTTTCTTAACTAATGACGACTGGTTTTAAAGATCAATATAATCGATACCTATGAACAAGAAATCAAGGATATGACTACCCTCCAATACCAACCAGAAATCGACCATTAGGTGAGCGCCGTACTGTAGTATAACTCAAAAATATACCTACTGGATCATCAAGGTATTCCCATATGGTGTGAGACTTGTTGGTCACCTGTTGCGATTGAATTGATGGCTGTTCGTTCTTTTGAACGACACTATCTTATCTTAATGGATTTGGTCAAGGTTCTTTGTGAACTGCACCTATTTATCTTGTTTGCACTCTATCCGTTCAGTAATAGAGGAATCAAAGCAGAAGTAGAAACTGCGCGTCAGCCACATATCTTAATGGTCGCCTACTCTTGTGGTAGTTTACACATTGAGCTCAAATGGCCCGACAGTGAAAATGTTATCCTCCAGAATTTGATAGCTAACAGAAAAAACAAGGTTCTGCTAAATCAGCTGAATTGATAACTTCAAAGGAAAGCTAGCAATGTTATATTTTTTGCCACGGTCCAAATATATTGCTGATATTTTCCACCGAAAAGACTTAGTCCGTCGCGTTTCCATAGGTACAATTACTGGCATGAGGACAAGGTGCACATGAGATGGATCCAAAGGGAAGAATTGATACCAAATGACAGATCGTGGAACAGTCAGAATTATGTCGACTCAATCGCACTACACATACAAAAGGGAGCGCACGCCACCAAAAGGGACGGATAGCAGGCATCAATTTCCATCATATTGGCGTACTAGCCATTCAGCTAGTATCCTTTGATGATGCTACAGAGAGCGCAAATTATTTGAGAGATGCAGATTAACTAATTAATGCTAAATCTGACAAATGTCGATTGCAAAGCTGCGGAGCGAGTGGTGGAGGCTAAGGAGAATAGAGAATTGCGTGGTGCCCTTTCTGTCGGCAAAGTTCAGGCCTTTAAGATAGTTTCTTATGCGCGATCTGTTGGTTAGAAAAATTCTGGGAATAGTAACCAAAGAAATAAGTCAATGTCACCCGAGAAGCACGGTGACTAAATGGCATTGCCATAAACCCCTTATTTACATTTTGTATATCCTTTGCTTTGAGCAGACAGATAAATAAATAAACGAGGTATCGTCTAGCTAGTTGGTCTTATGAGTTTGTACAGAGTGGATACATAAATCAGTTAGTTTTCCTGTTTGTTTAATGTGGTTCCAAAACGCATGTAAACTGTCGTATCAGTTGATACCAAGAGAAATACTGACGTAATAAATGATCAAATGAAATAGACGACCATCTATGGAACTGTTTCTTGGGAATCCGCATCCATGTGGGAAGTGTTCATCGGCACTTTCACGCCCCGCTGTGGCCTAAAAACAAATAAACAATTAGCGCTTTCACTCATCTTTGCTTTTGATGTTTATATTTTGTTGTTGCTGTTGTTAGTATAATCATACAGAATAGACACTCCGTCCATCCAGCCTGTTCCGCCATCCATCTCTGGGCCAGTCAAACCACATTGGTTCGACAAAGAGTACAACAAACTGGCCCGACGACGACGCAGACTATGGAACAAGTTCGTGTTATCTGGCTCTGATGAGGACTACAATGCGTGCAAAGTACAGCGAAATCACTGCAACAACGCGAAAACAAGAAAACGCAGAAGCTTCGAAGAGGAGCTTGCAACCGCCGCAAAAACTGCCCCCAAGTGGATCTTCGCATACGTGAAGCGGCGCCTGAGGCCTGTAGCCAATGTCCCAGTGTTAGAAGGCTCAGGTGGACAGCCCCTAACCTCGAGTACAGATCGTGCGTCCGCATTGGCGGCGCACTTCGCCTCCGTATTTGCAAGTGACCAGGTGTCTGTAACAAGTTCGACAAGTACCGCTCCAGCCGAACTTAACAGCCTGGACTGCAATATTGAGGATGTACGCAAGCTTCTAGCAAATCTTGACGGGACGAAGCCTGCTGGGCCAGATGGTATACACCCACTGATCCTCAAGTCCCTATCGGCCATCATCGCGCCTTCTGTAACTGAACTGTTTAACAGGTCACTATCTACTGGACTGTTAACAGACGAGTGGAAATGCTCACTCGTAAAGCCCATACCAAAAGGTGGTAACCCAAGTAAAGTGGATAACTACAGGCCGATCTGCCTGACTGCTGTTTCGGCAAAGACGCTCGAGAAGATCGTGAAGAAGAACCTTCTGCAGCTTCTCGAGTCGAAAAACCTGTTGACCTCCGCACAGCATAGTTTCATGAAAGGTCGCTCGTGCATCACCAACCTACTGTTGACAAGGCACGATTGGTTACAAGCGATGAACCAAGGCCATTCGGTCGATGTCATTTACATTGACTTCAGTAAGGCTTTTGACAAGGTTAACCATGCAGTGCTTCTTGACAGGCTGAGGATGTACGGTGTTAGTGGTTCGCTACACAAATGGATCAGAAATTTCCTTGTAGATCGGAAGTGGAGAGTCCAGGTGGACAACCATCTAACTAACTGGTATCCATCGAGCAGCGGTGTGCCCCAAGGCACTGTACTGGGGCCTGATCCATGTAAACGATGTGCCTAAGCTACTCCAATCACCTTGTGCGTTATTTGCAGATGACTTGAAGGTGTGGAGAGTAATCAGCACACTCAATGATTGCGATTTACTTCAGCAGGATCTAGACAGCCTCTCGACATGGTCTGCAGTGGTTAACCTTCCGATCAACCCTGCTAAGTCACAATTTATGAGGTTGGGTAAGTGTGAGCACAGCCGAACGTACACAGTGGCTGGTCAACCGCTGCACCCCGCGTCTTTTGAGCGCGACCTCAGTGTGCTCTCACGCTGCGACCTAAAGTTCATTGACAACACGAATAGGCTGTATCAAAACAGCCTTCGGATGCTTTGGGCGCTCAGGCGCAGCTTCAGCACTTGGTCCGAAGAGATTGCTACTCGCCTCTTCGTGTCGATAATACGACCAATGCTAGAATACGGCTCTCCCGCGTATTGTCCCATTACGCTGGGAGAGATAAAAAAGCTTGAGCGGGTGCAGCATGTAGCCATCAGGCTAATTCCCAACTTACGAGGTATGCCATATGAAGACCGATGTAAGAAACTAGGGCTGTACACCCTAGCATATCGTCGTCTGAGGGTTGTCCTCATCATGACGCACCGGATATTACATCTGGGATTACCCTATGTTGAGACAACTACTTCATCTGCGCACACCAAGCTGCACGCGAGGACACCGGTACAAACTTATCGTCCGAAGTTGAAGCGGGTCGCTCATCAACTCTGTTTCGAACGCAGAGTGGTGAATATCTGGAACGACCTACCGCAGCAGGTAGTAGAGGCCAACACAGTGTCTCAATTCAAGATGCTACTAGACCTACAATTTGCAGAGGCAAAGTACAGAGAGCGAAACGATTAATAAAGAGTTCATGTCCAAAAACGACGAATGATGCAGCTACGCAGAGCAACCTCTACTCGGTGCTTCGCACCAGTTCTCAGTTCTCGGAGCAGGTGCCTTCACCACTGGTGATAGAACTGTCTTTAGCCCCTCCGATGATGTAGCAACAGCAGCGTATGTTTTTAGCTCCATTGTCCATGTCTTACTTTTGTTAGGGCCATCGACTTCACCGGAAGGCTTTATAGCGGATGTTGTCTGCTTTTTCTTCTTGATAACAGAACGAACGCTCTACATTTCGCAGCCGGGTATCAAGAGATTCGTCTCTCCTACGAAATACTGTGCGGCCTTGCCGGCGGCTGCAGCAATTGACACAACTGAAAAGCAACTTCCCGCTAGAGGCCAGCGCTGCGTACTGCTCGGTATTCAGCTCCGTACAAAACTGATGGTACCATCGGTTGCAGACATTGCATTGCATGCCGCCAGATTCGTCAGTTACTGGTATATTGCAGCTTCGGCCGCCACAAAGTGCGATAACCTCAGAATCCGAGCCATCAGGAACAACAGCCTCGGTGCATTGCGAGGCTGACATAGCGCAACACAGAGTGATGATAACACGTATGCAATAGTTAAACGACATCAAAAAAGGCAAAAAACGGGGTTAAAACTGGGAAAAACTGGAAAAATTACCAGTAGGCGCAGAAGACGCTTTGACCAGAACCGCTTTAATCGATCCAACATATCTTGGATCACAGTAAATTTGACAATAGTCAAATTTCGTTTCAAGTCTTTATTCAACCACTGTTTTCCACGTTATTGCAACTAAAAATCTCCATCAGTATGGCACGCCAAAACGAATAGTTACCGCGTAGCACTGTGTTGTCTCCGGCAGAAATATATCGCAGTGATCAACGGTTTGCAGATTCATTCGCATTTACATGCGTTAGCCGCCGTGTTACATTAATATTAACTTACTGTTTGCCACGCAATCCTGAACGTCAAAAATGTACGCAACCGTACAGCATGTAGCCGTTGGCGTCCCCATCCAGCAAGTGTTTGCGCATTCCACGCTGGAAAAACATGTCAACCATTTAATCAGAACACGTCCGATTAGCTCATCCATGTCTTCAACACTTCCATGCTTCCTAATAACCAAAGATCTGAACAGCTCACCATCATCCACAGCCATAGCGATAGCAGAAAAACCACTATGGCCACCGAAATATTATAACAACTATCACACATATGTACCCTTACCGGTAACACTTCCGATGGCATCATAATTAACACACAATCCATTTCTCCACACACCACTCAGCTATTTCCACCTATTGCACATTCATCCTCCTTGGCAACGTCGCTAGGTAACCACGTTGCTATGTACCATTTGTACCACGGAACGTCCCGAAACAACACAATTTTTTGTTACAGTAATCACATGGTCCGTTGTTCATGGGGACAACCGGTTTCTGCCTTCTGAA